TATGAAAGCAAAAGACTCGGCAAATGATGCAACATCCCCCCAATGAAAAGAAGGGGTGCCATTTGCACGTTAAGAGACAACACGATAAGTGTTAGGGGCCCAAGACTGTTCAACTGCCTCCCAGCATACATAAGGGGGATTACCGATAGACCCCTGGCTGTCTTCAAGCAGGCACTGGACAAGCACCTAAAGTCAGTACCTGACCAGCCGGGCTGTGGTTCGTACACTGGATTGCATGGGGCCAGTAGTAACAGCCTGGTTGATCAGGCCCTGATCCACCATGAGGCCTGGTCACAGACCAGTCCATGGGTGCATTGAACCCTGGAACTCTCTCCAGGCAAACTCTGGGTAAACCCTCCCAAATTCATCCACCAGCCTCTGCAACTTCTCTTCAGAATCGCTCAAAAACACTGTCAGCAGCAAACAGCAATTGCAACAACTCCCACTTTATATTAGATTCTGGATATTTTAATCCCACACCTCTTCCCAACACCCCAGCATTCACTTTTACAACCCCATCAATTAATATATTAAACAACAATGGTGAAATCATGCATCTCTGTCTAGGGTATACCTTTACTGAAAAACAATCTCTCTCTCTCCTACATACCCTAACTGCTTTCAGTACCTACCGCCTATTTCATTCACTTGCAACACCTTCAACATTGCTCCCCTATTCACCCTATCATATGCCTTTCCTAAATCCATGAATGCCAAAACTTCTTTACTGTTATCTAAATATTTTTCACTTATATGCTTCTATGTAAACACTTGGTCTACACATCCCTTACCCTTCTTAACCCTTTGAGGGTCGACAGGCCCTCTCCGAGACTCGTTCTCAGGGTCGGCCAAATTTAAAAAAAAAAAAATTCTCTTATGAAAAGACAGGGAATCTTTTCCCGATCATAATGACACCAAAAGTTTGAAATTTGATGGAAAACTTGCAGAATTATGCTCTCGCGAAGTTAGCGGTCTCGGCGATGTTTACGCATTAGCGATTTTGCCCACTTTGAGCCCCATTTTCGGCCAATTCCACTATACTAGTCGACAAAAAACATGAATATTTCGCTAGAACTCCATTTTTTCTATCGAATGAGTGCAAGAAACCACCCATTTATCAATTTCAACTATCCAGTACAGTGGTCAGAATTTAGCAATTTTGCCAATTTCACACAAATTTCAAAAGATACCAATTTCCGAATAGGGTCCAGAATAAACAAGAAAGACATTCCTGGCACTAAAATGACATTTCCTCTGTTCATTAGTCACGTCTCAAGGCCCCTCTTATATTCTTTTGCTTTCCACTTTGAATTTTTATTCTCACAAAAAATAAAAGATTTACTGTTATGCAGACTACTGCATTAGTGTAAAAAATGGTATAAATAATATTGGCGCACTTGCAAAAGAATATTAGACTCACCAGTTGACGTGTATTGGAACCTTGGCATGATTTGTTTACTTTTGAGCTTTGGTAAAAATCGAAACATTTCTGCTACTTTGAGCGCAATTTCAAGGTACTTTTCATTGTAAAACCAGTCAAAATCATCTCAATTTCTGTAATATGTCTTACATTCTATAAAATGAGACCAAGAAAACTAGAATACAACAATAAATACCATACGAAAATACAGTGCAAAGTGGCTGTTTTATTCCAAAAAAACGGTCACAGTTTTTTTTTTCTCATTATGCACTGTGTGCTGCAGGATTTTTTTTATACTGTGCACACTGACCACATAGACCCATTCTTTCATATGTAGGCCTACCAGCTTTCTCCCACTAGATTTGAGGGCGCTAGAATTTAGGCGTACTAGTACGTCAAAAACCCTGGGGTCGTAAGCCATACTAGTACGGCCGAAACCCTCAAAGGGTTAAAGCCTCCTTGTTTATCTGTGATCCTGCTTTCCATCTTACTCTTAATTCTTCCAATAATAACTCTTACCATACACTTTACAGGCTTATTCTCCTATAATTTTTAGACTTTTTCTTAAAATATGTATTACCTATTACCAAACCTTTTTTCTATACAAAGTTCAATCAAAGGTCCCTGTTATCATTTACCCGACACCCTAACTTACTTACCGCTCCCTCTAAAAGTTTTTCCCATTTGAGCTTTAGGTCCACCACAATTACTCTCTCACTTGGTTCAGAACTTGCTAAACACTCACTTAACATTTCCCATAATCTCTTTCTCTGTCCTCTATACTCCTCTCTTCTCCAGGTGCATAAACACTTTTGCATCTGACCCTTATTTTAATCGACATAATCTTTGAGTTCATACATTTATATTCCCTCTTTTCCTGCCATAACTGATCCCTCAACATTATTGCTACTCCTTCCCCAGCTCTAACTCTCAGACACACCTGACCTAATCTAATTTATTTCTTCTCACTGAAACTCTCCTAACCTCTTCAGCTCTGTTTTGCCTAGAGCTAGGATATCCAGCTTCTTTTCATTCATAACATTGACAATCATATCTTTTTTTACCATTTGTACTACATCCACACACATTCAAACATCCCTACTTTACAAAGTTTTTCTTCTTATATTAAGTAATTTATACAGGGGAAAGGGTTATTAGCTCCTTGCTCTAGGCATTTTAGTTGCCTTTTACAACACGCATGGCTTATGGAGGAAGGATTCTTTTACACTTCCCCATAGAGAAAAGAATTTCAGCAGTCCATCAGACCAGGTTGTAATAATAATAATTTTATTTATATTCATAATATATACACGGTAAAATAAACTGAGATCTCAAAGTATACACAACATTTTGGGCAAACTTAGATTAGGACAAGAACTACTGAACACTAAAAGATCATGTAGTTTTGAACTTTTCTATGATGAAGAGTCTAACAGAGCAACTTAAGAATATCTGATATACTATCATAAAGGCCATAATTCACTTGAACAATAACATCAAAAATACATTTATCCTAAAAGAGGGAGCAAATTAAATTCAGTCTATTTACTCTGCAAGATGCACACCTTTCAAGTGTATATACACTGCTGAAAATTAGACATATGCAGAAGGCTCTCCACCATAGTCTCTATGTAATCATTTTCCTCTGCTTGACTAAGATTCCAAACTTTTTGTGTACAGAGTAGCAAATAGTAGGGGTAAATCTGACATCTGAACTTTAGTAAAAGAATGCCATACAACAATAAATTTTTTTCCAACAAACCGGCCATATCTCACCAAGGAAGCGTGACCTAAAAAGAAAAGCAAAGGTTTTTCTTTTTAAATTTGGTAATTTATACAGGAGAAGGAGTTACTAGCTCCTTGCTCTCAGCATTTTAGTCACCTCTTAATACATGCATGGCTTATGGAGGAAGAATTTGTTCCACTTCCCTATGGAGATCAGAGGAAATAAAGAAGAACAAAAACTATTAAGAAAATAGAAGAAAACCCGGATGGATGGATGGATGGATATGTATGTACATACGTATATGTGTGTGTGTGTGTGTGTGTGTGTGTGTGTGTGTGTGTGTGTGTGTGTGTGTGTGTGTGTGTGTGTGTGTGTGTGTGTGTGTGTGTGTGTGTGTGCGCGCGAGTGCGTGCGTGCGTGTGTGTGTAGTATGACCTAAGTATAAAAAGTAGCAAGATATACCTGGTATCCCACGTGTTTATGACAACACCATTTATGCATTAACCCTTTGACTGTCGAGGTCGTATATATACGTCTTACGAGGTACTGTGTTTGACATATATATACTCATAAATTCTAGCGGCTTCAAATCAAGCAGGAGAAAGCTGGTAGGCCCACATGTGAGAGAATGGGTCTGTGTGGTCAGTGTGCACCATATAAAAAAAATCCTGGAGCATGCAGTGCATAATGAGAAAAAAAAACTCCGACCGTTTTTTTTAATTAAAATGCAGACTTTGTGGTTTATTTTCGTATAGTATTTATGGTTGTATTCTCATTTTCTTGGTCTCATTTGATAGAATGGAAAACATATTATAGAAATAGAGGTGATTTTGATTGATTTTACTATAAAAAGAACCTGGAAATGGAGCTCAAAGTAGGGGAAATGTTTGATTTTTGCCGATGTTCAAAAGTAAACAAATGATGTCATTGTCCAATAAATGCCCAATTAGCCATTCTAATATGCAGTCATGAATGGGTTGATGTTATTTATACAATTATTACAGTATTGCAGTAGTCTGCATAACAGTAAATCTTCTATTTTTTGTTTGAATAAAAATTCAAAATAGAAAGCAAGAGTAATATCATAGGGGCCTGGAGACGTGACTGATGAACAAAGAAAATGTTATTTTAGAGCCAGGAATGTCTGCATTGTTCATTCTGGACCTTATTTTGAAATTGTCATATTTTTTAATTTTCGTGAAATTGGCCAAATTGCAAATTTCTGACCACGTTATTGGGTAGATTAAATCGGTAAATGGGCAGTTTCTTGTACTCAATCGATAGAAAAAATAGAGTTCTAAAGAAATAGCTATGAGTTTGGTCAAGTGGAACAATGGAATTAGCCGAAAATAGGGCTCAAAGTGGGCGAAATCGCCGATTTGTAAATATCGCCGAGGTCGCTAACTTCGCGAGAGCGTAATTCCGTCAGTTTTCTATCAAATTTCACGTTTTTGGTGTCATTACAATCGGGAAAAGATTCTCTATCATTTCATAAGAAAAAATAATTTTTTTTTTTAAATTTTGCGACACTAGGAGACACTTCAGGATTGGGGGTTGCAACAGTCAAAGGGGTTAATTTCTACATGATAAAAAGTGATTTTAAGTTGTATTAATTTCTATGTGCAAACAATTATATTTTAAGGTATTTTTACCACTTCAAATATACATGTATAGTACATTCATTGAAATCATTCATTAAACAAAGCTTAACCATTTGCATGAATTATGATCTCTAAAACCTGATTAAAAAATGACTGTACAATATTTAAATTAAACTCATTGACTTTTACAGATGACCTTCCAAATTTTTTTTTTCCTTTTAATGTTTACTTGCATTAACAAAATACTACTCACCATTGCCTGGATGTGGATCTGCATGCACAAACCCAGTGTGGAATATTTGCTCAGCAAAGGCATTGATTAGCTTCTTATCTACATCCTCCAGGGTCAGCCCATCTTCCTTTATGTTCCCTATGTCACTTACACAGTGGCCATGAATAAATTCGGCAGTTAAAACTCTCTGTAAAAAAAACATAAAATATCAACCTAACACAAAGCTGAAAAAAGAAAATAAGTTGAAAATCACTATGAAATACGGTGATTAATCAGTAGTTTCTCTCTACAAAAGCAATGGCCAAAACTTTTCCTTTTCCAACTTACCTTGCTACAGAGGTCCCAGTGAACCTTCGGAACATGCACATAGGAGAATTTGGCAAGGTCCTTTGCACAGCGTTCACTATTGTGTCCTTCGTTAATGAAGTCTAGCTCCTGCTCTAAGGTGCCCTTTAGGTCCTGCCATCAAGTCAATAATGCATTACACAATGTTCCAAGAAAATTCCAGAGTACTGTACATCATACTGGTGATACAATATAATGACAAAATAAAGAAATTTAGATGATTTACCAATTTAAATACAAAAATGCCAAATTATTTAATCAATACTGAATCAGTCATTCATTGGTATTTTATGCACTTCTGGTTATTCTAGTTCTCATAAAGTATTATAAATTCATACCTTTGTGCATGTTTCTTTCTTGTCCCTAAAATCATCTTCCAGACGAGCTAGTTATTGTTTTAAATAAGGCGAACCTAGTACAGCCTCTCCTCACTTAGCGATGTACTCGTTTACCGACGCCTTGGACTTACAACGGGCTCTCTGACCAGTATGCATACCTAAATAATGTATATTAGAGCTGATTTATACTACTGTATAAACATTTAAGAATATACCAGAAATGTTATAAATGGTGCAAAGGTAACATTAAAACAATATCAGAGATGGGTGACACAGACCCACTACCATTATAGTATGCCCCTCACTTAGCGATGAATTCATTTACCGACATAGTCTTACGAACAGAACTCCGTCATTAAGTGAGGAGAGGCTGTATTGTACATACTGTAAAACTAAAGTTTTCACTGCCTCCCACATAGATCTACATTATTGAAACCAGTACTGATCATGTAGATCTACACCTTAAGTGCAGTACATCAAATATGCTGTTAGTGATTAATTTTGGCCTAGATATGAGTAAATGGATCTGGGTAGTGGGTGTGCACAGTATAAAAAAAAATCTGCTCCACAGTACATGATGGGAAAAGCAAACCTCTGACTTCATATTGGGTTTAAAATAGTGACTTTGAGGTATTTTCCAAGGTGGTTTTATGGTTTTATTGGCTGTTTCTTGAAAGAATGGAAAACATGCTAGTGCAGTAGAGATTATTTTAATCAATTTCATACCTGAAGCATCTTGAAATAAGCCTCAAAGTGGCAGAAACATTCAATTTTTGGAAATTTTCCTGAGGATGAGTAAGCCCCCCAAGTCTGTTTTGTAGGTTTTTACTATGCCTGCTTCAATTATTGAGAAGCCTAAACCATGACCAATCATTCTTGGCTATCTTTTATTATCAGAGAAGGTAAACACTGATTTTTTTGTGTGTGATGTTGGATTCAAAATGGAGGGTAAGTGTTATATAGGAGCTGCCTGGGACAAGATTAATAAGTAGAGAACAGATTGCTTTAGTAACTAGAAATGCCTACAGTGTTTATTTAGGACTTTATTTAAACTGGAATTTGTTAAATTTTGTGTAAAATTGGCCAAATTACTAACTTCTGTGAACTTTATAGGGTACAGTAATTCTGCTAGTTGAATGATCAGTTTCTTGCACTCAGTCCACAGAACAGAAGGCATACTAGCAAAATAGCCAGGAAATGGGTCAAAATGAGTGAAATTGTTGGTGTAAATTGCACTGGTATAATTCCTTAAGTTTTCCATCAAATTTTGCATTTTTAGTGTCATTAGCTTTCAAAAAAAAATTCTCTACTACGTATTTCAGAAGATAAATTTTTTTAAATCACGACACTGCCAACACTTAATTTCGGGAGTCATGGCAGTGGAAGGGTTAATACATCTGCCATCTCCCATCAACGTAGGGCGACTCAGAAATGGCAACATTCACCATCAATCATTCAATAGTTGTCTTGCTAGAAGCTTGAAAACATCACAATTCAAATTACCCTCCAATTTGTAACATCCATATCCCTTCTTCAGAGACAGGCACTGTAATACATTTCACACCTCCATGACTCTCCAGGTCTCCAGGACTCAGGTCCATATAATTGGATTCCTTGAATTCCTTCATAAATGTTGCCTGGCTCACACTCTAACAGTAAGTCAAATCCCTAAAGCCACACTTATCACTCAAACTACTGTACCTTCATAACCCACTTCAGGGCAAATTTATGATGCATTATTTGAATAATATCCAATATAATCTCTATGGTCGCTACATCTCCCTTGAAGCGATCCTGAAGATCAATGTACTGAACTTTGACTGCAACCTCATCTCCGCCATGTGTCCTGGCCCGGAACACCTATAATAGCCAATCAACAGCATAAAATCTTGCATGAAATATTAGCATCTTTTGTTTATTATACAAAGTGGAAGTTGTCACATTTGATCTTGGTCACTCACATGGTTGTTTCTTTTGGGAGAGTCTGAAGAGAAGTTGTGAAGGTTGGTAGAGGAATCTGGGAGGGTATGTAAAAGACAGAAATTGAAAAAGAACATAGAAAAGAGCAAGACAATGACAGTAACAAAACACTCTAGGCAATGAGAACTTGAATGTTCGATTGGAGAGAGGGAGTATGGAGGAAGTATTATTTTTTCACACTTTAGCCATTTCCCACCAAGGTACAGTAATTGGAAACTTTATTTAAGGCATTTCATCTATACAGCAGGCTTTATTAAGTTTCACCTGCTACAAATAACAAAACTTTGTCATAAATTAAGTTTCCAATTACTGCTTGTACCTTTCTCATTAAAATTTTGTCAGTATTCCTGTACCATCTACCATTACAGATTAATTAAACTGATGTAACAACTGGTGAGAGACTTCATTGATGATAATGAACACAGATCAAATAAATTACGAAAACAAAGATGTATATAAAAGATGTAATGCATGCTTGCCAAAAGGCAGTTCTGTAGAAGATTTAGTTCTTGTGACTGACACCAATTTAACTGAGTATGCACCTATAGAGAATGTACTGCAGAATCTCTTAAATACCATTGATGTATCTTACCTGAGCTAGACTAGCAGCAGCAATCGGTTCATCATCAAACTCTGCAAACATATCCTTATGTGACTGCCCAAAATCTTCTTGGAACAGATGGCCAATCTCATTCCATCCACGATTAAGACATTTATTTTGCAAAGCCTGAAATATAAGCCTTCTATAGTGACATATCCATTTTCTTTAATTTCATTAAAACCATCCTTAATTTAAAATATTATTACTGTATTTATGGGAAAGCAATAAACCCATAGGGATCTTACATCGCCTGGGGAATGCGAAACAATAAAGTTCAATCCAAGTAAGGGGAGAAGTCTAATTCCTTAATCAAGAGCCACTCACCATCATCAAGGACCCTGCCTCGAGGAGTCCTTAATTTATATATTATTCTGCTAAGAGGGTCTCTGACCGAGGTCAAAATACACAGATCTCTCTTACCCGTATTAGTTGATAATGTAATGAGCTGACCTATGTCAGTAGTGAAATGACCTGTGTCCTGTGAAGATATGCTTAGTGGATTCTCAGTGACAGTACTATTGAAATGTTAAAGCTGCCTTCTCTGAGTTTTGAACAGCTGTCCCATCAGATGAAGGCAGAGCTGGAGGAACCTTGAAAATAGATACAGCTTCTTAGATAGCAGAACAAGAAGATTCATTCCCAGAACAACGAAGATAATACCAGCTGTGAATGGAAAAGATGAAGATGAAGGAAGTCAAAGAAACTACCATCAAAACTACCAATTCCTTCATGTATTGCCATTTGGTTGTAGTTCAGCCATGAATAAAAATACAATGAAAGCCACTAGTGAAGTTAAGAAGGCTTTTATGTAACAGGGATAGGTATGTATTAATATTGGTAGAATTACCGACAATATGTTAAGTAAAAGGACACAGATGCAACTAATGTGACATTTTATTGTGGTAACGTTTTCACTCTGCATTTGTGTCCTTTTACTTAACAACAGGGATAGGAAGAGCAGGAAGAGGTTTTGTTTTTCTGGGGCAAAGGGATGAACGATATAGTTAGCAGATTGGGAAACATCATGACTGATAATGAAAGCAACCTATTATAAGCCTCAACATTAGAGGAAATGATGTTGAGAAGCATAAGATATAGGACCTGCTTATTAGGTATAAGAGAGCAGTAGATATGGGCATTTTGCTGCAGAGGTATGTTGGCAATGAATGGTTGTCCAGGACATTTGGTGTCAATTGCAGTCTTAATTCTTAGAAAAGCAAATAAACCTAGCACTTATAAACTAAACACTTTAATCGAGATCTTGCTCAAACAGGAATCTGAAGCCAGGACACCTTTGACTAAGTGGTCCATAACAAAGTTAACAAACTACCTGAATATATATATATTTTTTTTTTTTTCAACAAGTCGGCCGTCTCCCACCGAGGCAGGGTGACCCAAAAAAGAAAGAAAATCCCCAAAAAGAAAATACTTTCATCATCATTCAACACTTTCACCACACTCGCACATTATCACTGTTTTTGCAGAGGTGCTCAGAATACAACAGTCTAGAAGCATACACATATAAAGATACACAACATATCCCTCCAAACTGCCAATATCCCAAACCCCTCCTTTAAAGTGCAGGCATTGTACTTCCCATTTCCAGGACTCAAGTCCGACTATATGAAAATAACCGGTTTCCCTGAATCCCTTCACTAAATATTACCCTGCTCACACTCCAACAGATCGTCAGGTCCCAAGTACCATTCGTCTCCATTCACTCCTATCTAACACGCTCACGCACACTTGCTGGAAGTCCAAGCCCCTTGCCCACAAAACCTCCTTTAACCCCCTCTCTCGAACTCTTTCGAGGACGACCCCTACCCCGCTTTCCTTCCCCTATAGATTTATATGCTTTCCATGTCATTCTACTTTGATCCATTCTCTCTAAATGACCAAACCACCTCAACAACCCCCCTTCTGCCCTCTGACTAATACTTTTATTAACTCCACACACCTTTTCCTAATTTCCACACTCCGAATTTTCTGCATAATATTTACACCAACACATTGCCCTTAAACATGACATCTCCACTGCCTCCAACCGTCTCCTCGCTGCTGCATTTACCACCCAAGCTTCACACCCATATAAGAGTGTTGGTACTACTATACTTTCATACATTCCCTTCTTTGCCTCCATAGATAACGTTTTTTTTACTCCACATATACCTCAACGCACCACTCACCTTTTTTCCCTCATCAATTCTATGATTAACCTCATCCTTCATAAATCCATCCGCCGACACGTCAACTCCCAAGTATCTGAAAACATTCACTTCTCCATACTCCTCCTCCCCAATTTGATATCCAATTTTTCTTTATCTAAATCATTTGACACCTCATCACCTTACTCTTTTCTATGTTCACTTTCAACTTTTCTACCTTTACACACATTCCCAAACTCATCCACTAACCTTTGCAATTTTTCTTTAGAATCTCCCATAAGCACAGTATCATCAGCAAAAAGTAACTGTGTCAATTCCCATTTTGAATTTGATTCCCCAAAATTTAATCCCACCCCTCTCCCGAACACCCTAGCATTTACTTCCTTTACAACCCCATCTATAAATATAATAAACAACCAAGGTGACATTACACATTCCTGTCTAAGACCTACTTTTACCGGGAAGTAGTCCCCCCTCTCTTCTACACACCCTAACCTGAGCCTCACTATCCTCATAAAAACTCTTTACAGCATTTAATAACTTACCACCTATTCCATATACTTGCAACATCTGCCACATTGCTCCTCTATCCACTCTATCATATGCCTTTTCTAAATCCATAAATGCAATAAAAACTTCCCTACCTTTATCTAAATACTGTTCACATATTTTGCTTCAATGTAAACACTTGATCTACACATCCCCTACCCACTCTGAAACCTCCTTGCTCATCCGCAATCCTACATCTGTCTTACCTCTAATTCTTCAATTATAACCCTACCGTACACTTTTCCTGGTATACTCAGTAAGCTTATTTCTCTATAATTTTTACAATCCTTTTGTCCCCTTTCCCTTTATATAAAGGGACTATACATGCTCTCCGCCAATCCCTAGGTACCTTCCCCTCTTTCATACATTTATTAAACAAAAGTACCAACCACTCCAACACTATATCCCCCCCTGCTTTTAACATTTCTGTCATGATCCCATCAGTTCCAGCTGCTTTAACCCCTTTCATTTTACGTAATGCCTCAACGTACCTCCCCCACACTTACATTCTGCTCTTCTTCACTCCTAAAAGATGGTATACCTCCCTGGCCAGTGCATGAAATTACTGCCTCTGTTTCTTCCTTAAAAATTTAAAAGTTCCTCAAAATATTCTCGCCATCTACCTAATACCTCCATCTCCCCATCTACTAACTCCCCTACTCTGTTTTTAACTGACAAATCCATACTTTCCCTAGGCTTTCTTAACTTGTTTAACTCACTCCAAAATTTTTTCTTATTTTCATTAAAATTTCTTGACAGTGCCTCTCCCACTCTATCATCTGCTCTCCTTTTGCACTCTCTCACCACTCTCTTTACCTTTCTTTTACTCTCCATATACTCTGCTCTTCTTATAACACTTCTGCTTTGTAAAAACCTCTCATAAGCTACCTTTTTCTCTTTTATCACACCCTTTACTTCATCATTCCACCAATCACCCCTCTTTCCTCCTGCCCCCACCCTCCTATAACCACAAACTTCTGCCCCACATTCTAATACTGCATTTTTAAAACTATTCCAACCCTCTTCAAATTCCCCACTACTCATCTTTGCACTAGCCCACCTTTCTGCCAATAGTTGCTTATATCTCGCCCGAACTTCCTCCTCCCTTAGTTTACACTTTCACCTCCCTCTTACTTGTTGTTGCCACATTCCTCTTTTCCCATCTACCTCTTACTCTAACTGTAGCTACAACTAAATAATGATCCGATATATCAGTTGTAGGTAGTAGGTTGGTAGACAGCAACCACCCAGGGAAGTACTACCGTCCTGCCAGATGACTGTGAAACAAAAACCTGTAACTGTTTTGCATGATGGTAGGATTGCTGGTTTCTTTTTCTGTCTCATAAACATGCTAGATAACAGGGATATCTTGCTACTCCTACTTACACTTTGGTCACACTTCACAGACACGCACATGCATATATATATACATACATCTAGGTTTTTCTCCGTTTTCTAAATAGCTCTTGTTCTTCCTTATTTCTTCTATTGTCCATGGGGAAGTGGAAAAGAATCTTTCCTCCGTAAGCCATGGGGTGTCGTATGAGGTGACTAAAATGCCGGGAGCAATGGGCTAGTAACCCTTCTCCTGTAGACATTTACTAAAAAAGAGAAGAAGAAAAACTTTATAAAACTGGGATGCTTATATGTGCGTGGATGTAGTGCGGATGACAAGAAACAGATGATTGCTGATGTTATGAATGAAAAGAAGTTGGATGTCCTGGCCCTAAGCGAAAACAAAGCTGAAGGGGGTAGGAGAGTTTCAGTGGGGGGAAATAAATGGGATTAAATCTGGAGTATCTGAGAGAGTTAGAGCAAAGGAAGGGGTAGCAGTAATGTTAAATGATCAGTATATGGGAAGGAGAAAAGAGAATATGAAGTGTAAATTCAAGAATTAAGTGGATTAAAGTAAAGGTTGGATGTGAGAAGTGGGTCATAATAAGCATGTATGCACCTGGAGAAGAGAGGAATACAGAGGAGAGAGAGAGATTTGGGGAGATGTTAAGTGAATGTATAGGAGCCTTTGAACCAAGTGAGAGAGTAATTGTGGTAGGGGACCTGAATGCTAAAGTAGGAGAAACTTTTAGAGAAGGTGTGGTAGGTAAGTTTGGGGTGCCAGGTGTAAATGATAATGGGAGCCCTTTGATTGAACTTTGTATAGAAAGGGGTTTAGTTATAGGTAATACATATTTTAAGAAAAAGAGGATAAATAAGTATACAAGATATGATGTAGGGCGAAATGACAGTAGTTTGTTGGATTATGTATTGGTAGATAAAAGACTGTTGAGTAGACTTCAGGATGTACATGTTTATAGAGGGGCCCCCCACAGTTTAAAACAGACCCATTTTTCTAGTTGTAGCTACACTGAAGAAAAAGGTAGATGGGATACAAGGAGAAAAGCATCAGGGAAG